GTGTGTTGGGGTGGGGGGGGGGTCCCAGGAGGCTAAGGCTTTGGAGTGGGCCAGTTGGCGGCCCGGTGGACAGCCTGCAAGGCCAGGCCCAGGGAACGTGTCGTGCTGTGCGGTTTTGCCTCGGCTGGTCAGGGACCTGCAGTGCCCATCCAACCGCATTCTATCGATAGATTCCCCGCATTCACACGCCCACACACCGCACACCTCATCCCCACAACACTCACCCTCCTGCCACCCCTGCGTCCCCTCCTCCCCAGGCCAAGCTGGGCGCGGAGGAGCGCGCGGCGCTTGTGGCCGCCGGCCGCCGGCTGAAGGGGGAGCTGGAGGGCTTGCAGGGACGACTGGTCAGCCTGGAGGCCGCGCTGCAGGTGGAGGGCCAGCGCCTGCCCAATGCGACGCACCCCGCCTCGCCGGTGGGCGGGGAGGGCGCCGAGCGGCTGCTGCGCAGCGTCGGCACGCCGCCCGCGTTTGCCTTCCCGCCGCGCGACCACGTGGAGCTCGCGGCCCGCCTGGACCTGGTGGACTTTGCGGCCGGGAGCACCGTGGCGGGGCCCAAGTTCTACTACCTCAAGCACGAGGCGGCGCTGCTGGAGCAGGCGCTGGTGGCGCACGCGCTGCGCGCGCTGGTGGCCGCCGGCTTCGTGCCGCACGCGACGCCGGATCTGGTGCGTGAACACGTGTTTGAGCGCTGCGGCTTCCAGCCGCGCGCGGCCAACACCCAGGTGTACTCGGTGGAGGGCGCGGGGCTGTGCCTGGCGGGCACCGCGGAGATCCCGCTGGCCGGCCTGCACATGGACGCGGTCCTGGAGGAGGACCAGCTGCCTCTCAGGCTGGCAGGCGTCGGGCACTGCTTCCGCACCGAGGCCGGCGCGGCAGGTGTGCAGGGGGGGTGCGGCGGGGATCGGGCGGCGGGGATCGGGCGGCGGGGATCGGGCGGCGGGGGTGTCGCTGCGATCTGGTGAATGCCCTCTCCTCTCCTCATGTCCCCCCAGCACCCCGGCCCTCCGCCCGTGCGCCACCCGCTCCCCCCACCTGCCCACACCACCCACCCACCCGACCCACCCAACCCTACCAGGCGCTGCGGGGCGGGGCTTGTACCGCGTGCACCAGTTCACCAAGGTGGAGGCCTTTGTGCTGTGCACGCCGGAGCAGAGCGAGGCCCTGCACGAGGAGCTGCTGGAGCTGGAGGTGGGCCTGTTTGCGGGGCTGGGCCTGCACTTCAAGGTCCTGGACATGCCCAGCGGCGACCTGGGCGCGCCGGCCTACCGCAAGTACGACGTGGAGGCCTGGATGCCGGGGCTGGGGCGGTATGGGGAGATCTCCTCCGCCTCCAACTGCACCGACTACCAGGCGCGCCGCCTGAACATACGATACAGGTGGGCGTGGGGTTGGGGGGTGGGAAGGTGGTGTAGTGGGTTTGGGGGGGAATGGGCAGTATGACATTTCAGGAGGGGGGATGGGCATATAGTGGTAGGAGAGGAGAATGGGCATATAGTGGTAGGAGGGGGAAGTGCGGGGGGGAAAGTGATGCACGAGGGGGACACTGGCTGTGCCCCTTGGGCCAGGCCAGCTTCCTGGGCAGCCCCCGCGAGAGGGGCTGCCCAGGAAGCTGGCCTGGCACCTGCGCGGCATCCGAGCACTTTTGCCGGTCAGGCAATGCGCTGAGCAGGCCCAGTCCCCGCTTGCATCCACACACACGCAGGCCGCGGCTCGAGGAGGTGGGGGACCTGGGTACCAGAAGGGCCCAGGGCACCCGCTTCGTCCACACGCTGAATGCGACGGGGTGTGCTGTGCCGCGCATGCTGGTGGCCATCCTGGAGAACTTCCAGCAGGAGGACGGCAGCGTTGTCATCCCGCCCGCCCTGCGGCCCTTCATGATGGGCCTGGAGGTCATCCGCCCCAGGAAGGAGGCGCTGCGGGAGGCGGCGCGCGCGGGGGGGGCCTGAGCTTGATGGGGCAGCGATCGTGCAGGCTGTGCATCGCGGCGGGGGGCTGGCCAGGAGCGGTGCAGCCACAGTGCCCGTGGAGTGTGTGCCCCGCCTTGGAGATGGGTGGCCCAGCAGCCGGCACACCGAGGCGCGTCCAGAGTTCGCGCCTTGGGGACCCCACCCTCTGTCGCGAGTCCCGAGTCGGAGGGAACTTGGCGAGAACACATGCAGAGGGAGTGCGGGAATGTGACACACAAATCCTGATCAGTAACACAGGGGGTTGAGAGCTGCGGTGAACCCCGGGACGCACAGTGTTCGTCTTCACAGGGCTTGACCATCTTCTCCGGGCCTCGCCGAGGAGCGGCATGCATGGCCCGGGACGTGCTGCCTCTGCGTGTCTATTGAGTAGCATCACCAGCTGAGATCCCGTCCGTCCAGCATGTATCATGAGGAGCGCGTGCGGCTTGCACTGATCTGGGTCGCGCTCCCAGTCGCCCTGGCATGGCTCCTGTCGCTTGACCATCTTCTCCGGGCCTCGCCGAGGAGCGGCATGCATGGCCCGGGACGTGCTGCCTCTGCGTGTCTATTGAGTAGCATCACCAGCTGAGATCCCGTCCGTCCAGCATGTATCATGAGGAGCGCGTGCGGCTTGCACTGATCTGGGTCGCGCTCCCAGTCGCCCTGGCATGGC